CTGCGAATACTTCCATACCGCTCAATTGGCCAAGACAGCGCTTTTGGTATCGGCGACGAGAGGTATGCTTGTTAATTGACAGGGAGGATTTCTGAATCAAACCCGGCGATCGCGTCGAGGGCAGTTCCGCCCGTGCAGCTTTGGCGTGTTCGATATGAGATACCTACGGGTTCTTCTTATACCTTTGTTTATATTATGGTGACAAGGGATAGGTCTAATATGTCAAATAAATGGTTGGGGAAGACGATAACGGAAACTGTACAGGTTGGAATAAGGTACGAGAGCTAGCGAGGTGTTCGGGAACGGGGGATTTACGCTGCATTGTCGATCTTTGAATCTCGGACAAAGAAGATGGATCATTTCGTGTCAATGAAAACGGCGAACTCCACCAGAATGGGATCGGGCGAAAGGAAACTGGGAACAGAAAGCTCCCCTGCCATTGTCCTCAAAGGTGGATGTTCTATTGTTCGCCTTAATCCATGATGCGGGCCTTCTTCCCCGAATTCTTCCCCGTTCTATCACGGGAGGAGATGGGGTTGGGGATGATGGGCTGGACTATAAAAAGCTATCAATCTCCCTTGGATATTGCGCTGGGATTCAACTACCATCCCTAGGTTTTCAATTCTCAGACGTAGAATTTCTTGAAAAAAAGGTAAGTATACTATATTCAACATAACCCCCGGAAGAAAGGAGTAGTGCATACCCACTCCCTCATCATGTATACGCCGTGCACAACACACCTAACACAATATAGCATTTTACTTATCAAAGGAAGGAAACCATATAATCATGAAGTTCCTCCCGATCCTCGTCATGGCACTGGTTGCCGTCGTTGCTGCCACTCCTGCGCCCGCCCCGGAAGATCAAAGAAAGAAGAAGCCAAAACACTGCGGTGAATTCGGTGACCCATGCTCTAAGCAACCGTGCTGTGGTGGGCTTAGTTGTCAAGATGGCGTACGCTAAGCCCTGAAACCTATATCTCTATAATTTTATACATCTATTTTGATTCTCTTCTCCGTCTATCTTCCGATTTGATGATATTTTTATATCTGTTCTCCGTTTAAATACTGATGTGCCTGATTGATAATTAAACAGGGTCAAAACCTTGTCTGCCTTCCGAAATAGGCGTAAAATATTCGAATCATCCTCGATTCCAGCAGGCCGTGAGTCGGCATGGTGGTGAATGGGGGGATGAATAACTAACTATGTTGAGTTTGGAGAAGCTGAGGCGAAAGAGGTGAAAAGGGGTATAAAGGAAAGGAAGGGGTCATTAAATGAAGCCTCGTGGACTGATTTCATTTCTCGTTCCCTGTTCTTTGATATATTTATGCAAGAAGGAATGAACTGCCCACTATCAATTGATTTCACGTCCTCCTTTAATTGGCTCATACGCATGGTTGTATGTTCAGGTTACAATTTAATTAGTATGTACGGTGAACCGGTGGGCACCAATATAAAGTGAGAATGAGAAAATTTCTTTAAGACGAAATCGGATATATATATTTCGAAAAGTCACCTTTAGATTATCTACTTTGAGGTTAACTACCAACGCTTCGCCAGGTCGAGTGGACCTTTAAGGATTTCTATCTGAACTGGTGTTGTTGCGGACACCGCTAGATAATTATATTCGGCGAATAATTCTAGTTTACTGCCTTTATGTCGCGCTTATGAGGTGCGAAAAGTGCTATTTAGTTAGGCGACAAGTCCAGTCATTCCAGTTCCTCAACTCGATCTCTTACCGCTTGCAATTATGCTATATTTCTACTGTTTTCTCTACCCCCTGAAGCTATGAATAATAATAATAATAATAATAATGTCAGGCTATATATGGAAATTCTTTCAATGTGCCTTGCTGCTAAACACAATACGTCAGAATGTTGGAGTAAATTGGGAGCCGTCCATCTTTCGACTCCCGCATATAGTTGTGTACCGCAAACGTACTGCGCTTAGGCATACGTAAATACGTTGGTACTGTGCCGTGGAATGTGGCATGCAATCGGAAGACCTGGAGACGGTGAAGGAAGAAGCAGAGATGAAAATAATCAAAAACCTGCGCAATGCGTGCGCAGTGCAATGGCGGGGGTGTAGGCTCCTTGACCAGGATGACAATATCTATGCACGGGACGGTTTCATCGATTAGACTCGACGATGTGGAAAAAGACCTTGAGATGAAAACCGCACGACACTCCTCCACCTTTTAAATAAGCAAGAATTTTCCCATGGAAAACGAAACTGGGCAGGGATTGCGTTCTCTTCCGAAAGTGAAAAGAATCAGTCGAATGTTTTCCAGGCTCAAAACTTACAATCGAATATCCCAAATACACCACCATACGAGAAGTTCCAAAGATGAAGTTGAGCCAAGTCTCTTTACTTGTCCTCATAGTCAGCGCAACAGGCATCATCGCCTCTCCCGCGCCCAATGCGTCAGATAGGAGGAAGCTTTCAGTCGAAGGAAGTCATGTTGAGGAGAAGGTAGCTGGTTTAACCTGGATGCCGGACCCGACATATGAATGCCGTCCAGTGTCATTCTGTGCGGGCCTCAGAGGAAGGAGATGGGTAAGTGAAAACCAAGTAAAATAAACATCTTCATGTATATCGATGGAACGAAGAGAGGTAGAGAGAATAGCAAAGGAGAAATCAAGCAAGAGAAAGAATCGAGGTCAATCGCTAATTTTCATAATTTACACCCTGGTTTCGTGGGGGATGATAGTTATACCAGCCAACTGAAGAGAGGCAGTTTGAAAGCCCCAGTGAGAGGTGTAAGGATCGATACTGTATAGATAATGCAGGTTGCCCATGCCCGGGATGGTTCTGTGTAAGTTGTTGGCACTATTGATATATATCAGTTCCTCCAATTCGAATGAGAAGAGAAGAAGGAAGTGAAACTTCTTCAAAGAAGGCGATGAATGACCGACATGCACTAACAGCATTGGGATATATAACTAGGAGAGCAAGGGCGGTTTCTGCAAAATTGGGAGCGCATTACCACAGAAGCCATCACCCGAACCCATACCTGAGCCGGAAACTCAGGTACTTGCCCCTCGTAATGACATCCAAGAGGCAACGCACCAGAATCCGAGAGACATGTCTAATGTACGTGGCGGGGGCGGCAACGACAACTGGTGTCTTGAGAAGGGAAGGAATTGCGGCCCAGCTCCGACTCGTTGCTGTAAGGGATTGAAGTGTGAACGGACTGGAGAGCCCGATGGTGTAAGTCTTATATCTAGAATGCTTTCTCCCATCTCGTTTCACCGATGAATGCAAAGAAGCGAACTAACGTTTGTGTCTCTTGACAATTTGCAGTTCACCTGGCTAGAGTGTAAGCCAGCGTAATCCACACTGTTTGGGCTTTGCCAGATTGCACGGCAAGTTCTTTTTGCCTTGGCTCCGAAGTAACTAGGCATTGGAGCTTTGCTTTTCGGTCATCATCGAAGAAGACGGTCAGTCGGCTCTTTGCCGAACGGAAATTTTCTCTTGATTTTCATTATGAATTCATTTCGCTTCGGGCAACAGAGCTCTTTTTTATTGGACTGCAGGTTGGATTTTTAAAAGGGACAGAATACCATTTTGGCGAGAATATGAAAAAAAAAAAAAAAAATCAAGCTGTCTCCAACGGGTTTCGCTTCTTTCGAGGGAAGAAACGTAGTCACTCGTTAAAATGGCTGATGGGGATGAATTAGAAGCAATATTGAGACGAAATTTTCTATCGAAAACTTAGTTTTAATCCGCGTAGCTCATAATAAGGTGTGCATCGGTTTTAGACTATAACCAGCTCACCTGCGTTTGTGTGTCCAGGCAGATATTATGAACTGGCAATACAGTAGCCACCCAGATGAAATTTGCATCAGGTTTGTATATCAGTGGTGTTTTCAAGTCGCAACTGGCTTACTGGACCAATCGGATGAATGACAGCAGGTATTTGGGTTCAAATGGCATCTTTGGTGGCTAATGGCTTGATGTACACTGCTAGTATTGCCATTCAAGGGCTTTTGGAATTTGTTGGGGAAGAGAGTCTGATCGTGAAGTTTGGATGGAGAGAGGTTGAATACTAGTATGGATGCCCTGCTAAATTAACTATGCTTTTCGGCTTAGGAAGGTCTCGGGGGTCTATGATGGGCAGGGGTTCGAAAGAAGTATATCTCTACAGGAAGGCAGATATGTCTTGTCGGTGATACTGACAGAATATTATACTGGTCTAATAACTAATAATCTATGGAGTACTCCGTACGTGGAAGCTATATTATTTGAGGATGGGATTTAATTGAATGTATAAGTATAGCGTTCTTATAGAGCAGATATAGATAATCAACCTATATGCACGATTTATGGGTATCAACGTGGCTTTTCTAATTCTAGAGGCTAGACAACCGATTTCCTTACTCAAAGGCTGTCTCATGAATTCTTGCTTTATAAAAGCCCATCCCAGTACCTCCTTTCCTTTCACTTGCTTTCTCCCCAGCCTGCACTCCAAAACTTACCCATGGGCTTACCCAGCCTCCCTTCCCCTCCTTTGTAACCCACAGATACTCCCCACTCTTATGTCTCACGAAACTCTTTATCGCCATTTCCTCTCTCAAGGTTACCCACTTTCCGGTAGGATTATCATCTGCGTAAGCACCATATGAATCCGTCGCCAGCAGCACATTTTTATTTGTATAATCCGGCTGTAGGTCATGCCCCAGACCACCCTTTCCAGGGAAGGGAATCGCACTATCCTCTTGTACAAGTCGCATTGTTTCCCCTCGGCCCGTGATTTTATATTTCCTCAAGTATTTATCCAGGGAAACCCACAATATCCCCCTTTCAGGGGAGTCTTGCGCGTCGTTAGGATCCCAAAGTATTCCATGAGCACCAGGGGCATCATACGTGACATCTGATTTCTTCAAGTTCTTGAAATCGTTTATATCCTTAGGATTTCCTGGGTAGTAGAGCGTCAGCTTCCCCGGAGTCGAACTCGCGACGACAACCGCACCAAGATGCGGAATCCGCTCGATGGCGTGTGGGTTGCTGCCGGGCGAGCCTGTCCATAGCAAATCACTCAAGTCAGTTTTCAGCTTCTGGTTGGAAACGTCGACGATGCCTGCGTTGCCGCCTGAGGCGCAGACGAGCGCAATCCAGTCATGAGAAGCCGTCTTCCGGAGCTTGACGTCGGAGAGGTTTCTCCACCCTCTGCTGCGTTTGCCGGCTGTGAAGCTCCAGTAGATGTTGGAGGGAGTCCACGGTTTGTTCCGCGGAAAGACATGTATCGCATTGGGTGTCTGGTCAACCCCCGCGATGTAGTAATCTGGTGACGCGGCGGCTAAGAGAGTCGAGAAGCGGCCCACGAGAAGAGGGATTAGAGGTATTAGAATGTGACACCCAAACATCCTAAAATTTTGAATTCAGCCTCAGCACTTTTGATATGAAAAGAGATAGAAATTATATCAAAGTGAGAGGAGGATGGGGAGCTCGCCATTTATGACGGAAAATCAAGACCAGGCCGTTAACTGGAGCGATATGGGGATCTGCATGGGGAGGGCTATGGATTTCACAGTTAAATAATCCATGATGACACGCCCATGTGGATATTTTGAGCAGATTAACCGCCCAATCGCCCGCACTTATTATTATTGTACGAGACCCTCCCCCTTCTTTTGCCGGGGGAAAGCAGGAGATACAGTCTCCTATCAGGAAGTATACTGGAGATCGTGGCTATGCAAATTCCTCTTTATCAGAACTTGAGGTACTAGACTATGAGCATTCCTCAACAGCAAAACGAGATTCAAATCGGGCTGGGGAAGAGAGAGAAGCAACAACATGTATGAACCGATTGCTCTTCGCATTGCTCTCTGTTTCTATGTTGCATAATGTTGGTTACTTCGAGCATGAGCAGATGAGAGAAAACAGATATATTTGATTCTCTATAGATCCCGCTTTGGAACATTTTACTGCCCGTTCAACGACCATATCTAGGCTGTTTTGGTAATTTGGGGTGTTGCTAAATCAGAATGAAATACGAGGTTGTCTCAATCTGGATCGTAGTTGAATATTTCCTAAAATAGACAGTCCAAGCCCTAACTAACTGTTTGCACGGAATTGAATTCAACCCGGTTTTGATTTCAAAGGAGTATCTTTCTGTGTCAAATCGTGTTGTTCGAATCCGCAATTTTCTAGCAATGGTTGCGTTTTGGTTTTGCCTAAGGGAGACGATACAGTCGTGTGATAATACCCACCTACTACCGCCAGTCCGCATGTCAAGAGGCGCAATCTGCTATTTCAGATACGAGAACTAGACATGAGATTCACGGGCCAGGATCCTCAGTTCTCAATTGGATGCAGTGAATTGTGTCCAGGCTATATTTTGTTTCCCTTGAATATCATGATAATTGTGCCACCCCAGCGTTCATTTTGCTGAACATGAATATTATGGGGCGAAAAGGATAACCTGATCACTCCCAAGTCGATGAAAGATACCAACATTGCTTTTCACTCAGTTGGACACGTTTTGGGGTGGCTTAATATTCTCGGTGATCATGCCGTCACGCAGCAGTCGTCTGAAAGTGGAAAGATGGGCTATACGGAAATGCCGATTCCTTTTTAGATTTCCGTGCCTCATTGCTGATATCTCAATCCAACAATTGACAATTTATATAATATCTTGTTCGTGTGGAATTCCACCAGAGTGCGGGAAGTGACACCCGCACACTGGAGGAAACAAGGATTGCAAGAAAATATTCGTGTAGGATCATCAAATACAAATAAATGACAAAGAGATTCCATAGTTACCCACCTAGACTGGCCAAGAGGTACAGTTCTCCCACGGAGGTAGAGGTTGGGAGAGGGCAGTAGTAGTCGTCATGAAAACAAGAAAGTCTCTATTCAAAGTCCAAGGTGAACTCTCTGTATTTAACCCCGCATCACAACTGCAGCTAGAAGCAAGGCATTCTAATAAATGATACCGGTAAAAGGAATTGATATCGTTTAGATGTTGCGCCATATCCTCGTGAAAGTCTTCATCATTATGAAACTCGAAATGCAGCTGCGAGATTAGAAAGAAGCCTCTCTTCCTAAAATATAGCTTAAAACAAAACAACTACGGAATTCTCAACAACCGTCGGTCCTAACACCGCAGCAAGCTCAGCAACAATACCCTTTATCGACTGGGGATTGCGGATATCCGAATTATCCCATGGGACCAAGTCCTGTCGGTGCATATTGAGTCAGTTTCGTCCATCGAACACTTGTCCAAAATGAAAAATATACATAGCTGGGTGAAGGAACGGAACCAGAAATAGGTAACTCACGACCATGTCGACCAGAACACCATGGGCCAGAAGTTTCCAATGATCCAGATCCACCTGCTCCTCCAACTGCTGTAACGTCAAGACGCCTGGCATATGGACGTCAAATAATGACATATCTTCCTCACCAATAGGAGGTATAACGTTTGATGCCTCCTTTTCTTCGTCAGAAGGATGTGCTTCTACGCCACCTCCTGCCTTTGTTGTTGCCTCTAACGTGCTGTCATGGGAAAGAGACATATACGGACGTCGATCAAGTTCATATTTGTAGTTATCAAATGGACTCCATGTGAAGCTTTCCGGGTCTATTGTATACATATGTCAGGAGCATTTTCAACTATATTTCAAAAGACTACGAAGGAAATGTGCTACCAACCTAGAACATACTGAGGCTGGAAATTCGCCTTGTATCGCATTTTTGGACAGGAGTGTATATAGAAACCTGGATGCCATTAGACAAGTTGTGGAGGAATAAAACAATTAATTGCGACAATCGCGAACTAGAATGTTATCTTCGTACCCATATAGTAGTATTGGTAATTTCCCTCACTAGTTAAGGCAATTTCTCGGAGAGCACTAATTTTCCCAAATTCATAGTCGCTGTACTCTGGGTCATAGCTGCCAGCAGTCAGCTTTATCATCTACCTACCCTTCCAGGGAACCATATATATAGGGCAACGGAGGTGAAAGCATACAATAGATAAACCGAACTCACGGCATGAGGAAGCAGGTCTAGAACGGCCACTGCGATAAGCTTACCATCCAGCCGGTAACATTGATGATACGATCCGAGTCTCTGCTCTTTCGAGCCTATTTTGACGGTCTTCCTCTGAATACCAGTGCATAAGAACCGCTTAAAAGAGGGGACGTTCCATCTTGATGCAGGCTCTTTGTGTATTGTCATTTGATATTTTAGGAAGAGGTCATATCTGCAGGAATTCGAGACAAATGTCAATCAGAAAGAGGGCTGATGCATGGACCTAGAGAAAGGAAAAAGAGGGAGGAAGGGACAAACTTTGCCTGTGAGAAAGAATCTGACTCAATATTCACTTCAAACCTATGGGCCGGTTCTATAGCCCTTTTCGTCTTCGGATCCCTGAGTTTCTTGACATTGGTGTATTCCACTTCATGGACTCGTTGGAGTAGATCAAACTTCGACTTTCGCAATTTCTTCTCCCTGTATATATATATATCTATATATCAGACCCTTACTAAAATCATGAGAGCCGCTAAGCACCGGAAATCTTAGAGGGCGTAGGGGCTCAGATTTAGTAGGGAAAACATACTCTCGAGTTTTTGGACAGAGTCTTGCCGCACTGCGGATATACGACTGTCCCAGCACGAAATTATTCCAGTGATTCATGGCCAACCTCTGGTCCTTTCTTGGCTTGAAAGTAGTAGGGTCCAGCCTGTAGAGGCGAGGATTGTTAGTATGGCCTTAAGGAAACGCTCTCAAGAATCAACGGAATATGCGTGGACTACACTATGCATACCTTATCGTGTAATGCGGACAGCACGAGCGTTTCAGATTTTGCTTGTAGTAAAGTGATCCGGACCTATAAAGAGAGATTTTTAGCTCAGACCATACCCCAACACAGGTACATAATAGGTACAACTAGATGCCTACCGTCTCCACCCTCGATCAAGCATCTCCTGGTATTCTTCCACACGCATGCATTTAGACGAGGCATAGTAGGATACGCCTACCCAAACATATAACTGTCAGGAACCGCCTACATGCATTTGTAGGTTTGTACAAAGAGGGAAATTAAAGCCTGGAGAGGTAAAAAGTGAGACCAACTTCCATTCTCAGATTTGCAGTAACCGCATGAGTTCCTCTGGTATCCTATATGTCAATATGTCAGCGCTATTTATGGTAGATTTAATCGGTTGACAATGCCATGAAAAGATGCTAAGTAATGGGAGAGATTGGTTTCTTATAATGATAGCTAAATTTCCCTTGTAACAGCAGAAGATAGCTACTTGGTTCGTCATCCAGTAGGACTTTGTCTACTTACCATTTGGCGTGATGAACGAGAGCTCTGGTTGTTTAGGTCGCTTTTCCTCCTCGTCTGATGATGACATGCTTGGCTAAGTGGGCGCGGAACATGAAACAAGAGAGGGAACTTCACACTTTTACTAATTATTATTTGGGCTTATATGTACGAAATCATGCGGCCCATGAAGTCCAGCATCAACCATTTTCTTACAGTAAATATGGGTTGAACTGGAACAACAACAGCATGTTCGTGAGGTTGAGGCTTGGGACGCCAAGACAGCCACTAGGAAGTGGAGGAAGTGGAGGATCCCGTGACCAGGAGGGCAACCTCCAGGGCATAACCATATTCCGCTTCAGCCATTTGTCTGTACATGTACATACATGTACATAGTACTGTACATATAAGCAATTACTACCCCTAAGACGCCAAAAAATAGATACAAGAGGGATGGAGAGGTACTAGTAATCTCGAATAATGACACTTCCGTCCATACTAGTACTATCTGAGCCTGGTCCCTTTTAACAGTTCGTGCTTTATTTATATCCCGTATTTCATCCAACACCTCATCCCGTATCGGAGGAGGCATCACTAATGCTTTATCCGGCCGGAAAAAAAAGGAAATGTCGATTCCTCCTGAAAGATAGGGGTATTTCCCGATCTCGTGCGTCCTCAGCAACAGAGGCGATGGTTATCCCCTTCCAGGATAGTGGAATGGCTGAGATGGCCGAAAAATATCATAGAAGGTTATTTTCTGCCCGATCAATTTGGATACATTCGTAGGCAACGAGCAGGATATCTGGATATAACATAATATAACACGTTCAGCGGCTTTGGCAACAACGGACGTCATTACGTTTTGGCTCCTGGGAATGTTATCTCTTAGGACTCAAGTTAGGACTTTGAAAGCTGAAGCAAATATGGAAAGGGGAAAGGGGAGATTACTTAGATACAGTCGGCAACGACGACGGGAAGAGCCAACAGAAATGAATGTCCCCGTTTTCGTCTCTTTACTCCTTTAGGTTGCCATCAAGCAAGGAATTGCTAATTTCTCTCTCTTTCAGTATTGATGGGTGTCGTTGGTTCGATCCCGAAAATATATTATCTGCGGTGGTATTAATTATCGCGTTCAATGGAATTCCCAGCGGAGATCCCGTGACCTGGACAGGATGCAATTGCTTCTTCTTCGAACAAAGGAGGAACAGGAATTGAAGTTCTCATTAGACGGGATAATTATGGGTCACATAAGAACAAGTGTATTTGTTTCAGAGTTTTTCTCTCTCGAAATCCGATAAGACGGAGACCAGCCGACGATGTAGAAGGAACAGCACAGCGTGCACCACGTCATGGACGGATGAGTGCCCAATGCCATGGCGCAAAAAACAACGTGGTGATGATTTGTGGCCATCATCAACCGTCTGACAATCCAACCCCTAGTCAAAGGACTGTATGGGACAGAAAAAGGGAATAATAACTATCACCCCGCCTGCGATGGTATTTTTGGTTTATGCAGCGAGTCCCCCTCTGTCCTATCCTTCGGTCCTATAACCAGAAATTTCCGCGGCCTAAATTAGTTTCGACCAACGACCTCACGGGGCTCCACAGGTCGTAGGGATAACAGACAGCCATGGAGGAAAAGCGTGATGAAAATCATGCGGGAGCTGAGGAGAGTATGGACCACCAACCGGACAGGACAGATCCATGGGCCGGGCCGCATATTTGCTTTTCGATTTTCTTTTTCAGGCTTGCCGCCGGGAGGGGACGCAAAATAACTGGGCCGGCCCAGTGTTTCAAGGATATTATCGAATAATGGAGAAAGACTCGGAAACACCATGCGAAGCTGTGCTGGTTTGATATGGCTGTTGTCATAGGGCCAAAGATAGCGTTCATAGGAAAGGGGCGAAGAAGGGATGCAGAATTCGCATTGGAAATGACCAACTCTTATATCACGGACAGCAGAAAAGTGGCAGGGTGTGAAACAAGAATTTACAACAGATGGGATGTTTCGTCAGTTTAGGATGGGCAAACAAGTTTTTTTAAGAACAAAAAAAATAAAAAAAATAATGAAGACATAGAATCGATAGACATACACCTTTCTTCTAGAAGGATTATTCTATCCCAGCCAAACTTCCCAGCATTCGCAGCGGTTGATTGGCTGCCCTTCCCGCTTACATGACACCACCGCGAGCAAGCTACAGCTGCACGAAATCAACCCAATCACCAACCTGGCCCTCTCTTACACCTTTGGCGGCTTCGAGAGAAGCCGCAATAACAAGAGATCAAATCATCTTGCTAGAAAAGGAGAAATAAAAACAAAAGGAAAAAGGAAGGGAACATTTTCAAACTGACTCTCGAGGACAAGAAAACAAGTCATCATCAAAATGGAGCAACGGTGTTTGAGCTAACCGTACTTTTTGTCTCCACCCACTATCCGCCTCGCACTGGAGATAGCAGGTGAGAAAAAGCTGTCGTTTGATGCGTCAAACTCTGCCCGCGCCAGCATTTGTCGAAGTAATACAGCAGAAGCAACACACTGGTTAGCTGGGTAGCAAGCAGCTGCAAGGAAGCAGCAGTACCAAGCAGCGGTCAGCTGTTATTACGACAGCATCTAACTATCTTGCTTAGCCTGGCTGGTCATCTTGACGAGTCGCAGAAGCAGTGCTGAGCACGAGCCAGGTTGTTGCTCTGCTCACAGGCTGATTTGATTGATTATTGGAATTTTTCTTCCTTTATTTTCCTTTCCCTTTGGTTTTCGATCTGTGTCGAGGATGGAGCCAAGACCTCCCACAATAGCGATTGCTTTTCCCTGTTTTTAGTTCAAGCTACGAATGAGCTGGGCGGAGAGGGAAGGGAAGGGAAGGGTCCGCAATTCTACCCATTTGCTGAAGCCAAATATTGAAACCCACAAGAAATTGATAATACTAGTTGCTTGAAGTTATGTTCAACATGACAAGCTGCATGCATTATGCGGAGTCAACAGATAGAAAAGGTGTTACTTTCTTTTCTTTTCCTTTGTTAACCGCTCATCAGGAAAAAAAAAAAGAGAAAGAGAGAAAGAAAAAAGAAAAAGCTGCTTGGATTTTCATCATTATAAATTTTTATTTGTCTCTCTCCTCCTCACTCAGGAAGATTTTTATTTTCTTGCTTCCTCATGTGTGCTTTATCTCCATATCTCCATATCAAAATGATCCATGCCTTTGTTAAGGGCCGTTGATTCATTTGAGCGGATGTTGAAACAGGCCAAGATACAGATATACTGACCCGAAGATGGATGAAACCAATAAATGGATAAGAAAACGTCAGCCCCAGCATCTCGGGCAATGACAATGACGATGGAGGACCGACCTGCTTGTCAATGACGGAAAAAAAAAATATAACGGCGAGATTTTCTTTCCTCGATTCATTCGCCGTTTTGCTTTTGCCCAACCCTGCTTGGGGTTGATGTTGATGATTTCATACATATTTTTTAAGTTTTGAAAGCAACGAGCGGTTTCAAATGTATAACTTTAAATATCTGGGCGGTTTAGTAACATATTTAAAAGGGCAACGCTGGAGGGGTCTGAAAGGCTATGTAGAGTTTTAACAGGTTTACCGAGTACAGGCCTAACAGAACAGACTGACTCGAACAGGCCGACTGGACTAAGTTGATGGAAATGCTGAGATAACTACATATCAGTACAACTCAGCACTAAGGAACAGCCATTCATGCCGCCCAGGAAATTGATACAGGTCGAGAATGGACTGTATATGTGTAGTACCTTCGCCAAGCTGGTGTGGAGATAGATCTTGGGCTCCCACAAACATTAAAATTTCATAGGTCCGTAAGGAAGCTGTCGATCTGTATCCAAGTTAGGAATTTAAAACACTAATTTGCTGGTGTTTTGTAGTTATTTTTCTATTTTTCTATTTTTCTACTTTTTTTGTATATATTTTTATAATTTTTTTTTTTTCCTGATCTATTGTGTGTGTGCGTGTGTGCATGCTATTTGGAAGGTACCCTCCGTCTTCCGCGGTGCGCCGCCCTTTTGTTCCCCGGTTCCCTCTCATCCAACTATCCGCTACGGCCAACAACTCCAATCCTCCCCCCAACCTGTCCTACTCCTCTTATTTATTTGCTTTATTTTATTCCCTTTCCCTCTCTACAATGTCTTCTTTCAGCCCCTCAGCTCCTACCAGGAATCATACTCTTCCCCAGCCCCAGCTTCCGCGGGACTGAAAGGGAAGAAAACCCTCTTCCCTCGTCCGTTTTCATCTCGACCGCCTCCCGCCTCTGCATCCCCGAATCCCGTAACCCCCCCTATTGTATTCTCTATACACTATTGGCGTCTCCTTTGTTGCTCTCATTTTGTCCTGTTTCCTCTTCTCCTCTCTGTGTTCCGCGTCGGCAACTGTAGAACCCGCCTCCTCTCATACGTTGCTGCTTTTTTACCTACCTCTTTCCGCCTCGATAACGCCCCTTCGTCCGAGACAAACGCCCATAGATAGCGGTGTGTGTGCAACCCCAACACTTCACCTAACCCCGTTTGTGAAGAGAAGAAGCATCAGAAATTCCAGTTCGAAATATTTCAGCACACGAGGAGCAAGAGACCCATTCCCCGTTTTATTGCCGCTCAACGGAGATTCGAGTTGTCGAGTTGTCGATCCGTTTACCGATATCGAATATATATATATACAGATTTTGCCTACAGGGTGGTTCTGGAGACAAGCTGAGGAAGGTCCTCGCGTGAGGGATTACCCAGACAGCGATCGGCCTCGCTGTCTTCTATATATCTCTAACTTCCGGCTTGAGTCTGTGGGAAGACGGAAAGGGAATTGTGGTTACGAGGGTTATTTTCCGCATAACGAGGCAAAAACGGCGGTGGAGTGGGTGTGAGCGTGTGAGCGTGTGAGTGTGGACAGGGACTAGAGATTGTTCATTATTTCGGCGGAGACGACAGGTCCGGGGCTGAGAGAGCCGAATACACCCGTGGAAGGGAAAAGAACAAACAACGAACGAAGGTTATTTGAGAGAGAACGCGTCTTGGAAAGGTGATGGCCCAATCCCGCACAATGGAGTCCCGCACGGGGCGGACAAACCAGCGTGAGTAGCTGCAGGTGGCAGACAGGCAATGCTGGCCCTTTGTTGAAGCACGTGTCTCCGTCCTCTCCTTCATGTTGCTGCTGATCCTTGCCCCTCATCCCATCATGCCATCTCACCAACCTCCACTCCCGCTGCACTTCCACGTACAATTGCGGAGACTTGCCACAATACATCACCATGGCACATATCTTTCTCATTTACCACCATCTCCGCTAAACGACCATCACCTTTACCCCCCCTTCTACTGGCTACCCTTCCCCTTGGCCCCGCCTTGTTTGACCCTGTTGTTCTTCTTCCATTGGTCTGCCAAGTCTGTTTTGCTGACATGACCCTTCCTCTTCTCCCCCCTAGGCTATAGCCCCAGCGGCGAACGACTCGTCGCCGGCGTCGTTGCCATGTCCTCTGACAAGTCTAAGGTGCTCTTGATCCAGTCTGCTCGCCGCGGAGGCTGGGTTCTGCCCAAGGGCGGCTGGGAATTGGATGAACCGTCCGCTCAGCAGGCAGCCTGCCGTGAAGCTTGGGAGGAGGCAGGCGTCGTCTGTACCGTCCTGCGTGATCTCGGCAAGATCTCAGACATGCGGACCCCGGCCCAGGTGTCCCAAAAGGCTCCCAGGATACTGTATCAGTTTTTCGAGGTCCGCGTCGATCGGGAGGAAGCCCAGTGGCCGGAGATGCACAAGCGGAAACGACAGTGGGTTACTTATGCGCAGGCTGCAGCGGCGTTGGCGAATCGCCCTGAGCTTCTGGATGCGCTCAATCGCAGCTCTGTCAAGAGATAGCTGTTGACCTTCCCCCCCGGCTCCTTTCTTGATCCGGTTCCTTTGGGCAGATTGGAACCTCAACATTTAAAACACATACGTACCTATCGCCTGTTATTTATTGGCCGCTTATTGCTAATTTGTTCCAGCATCCCGTGGAACTACCCGTTTTATTGTTGGAGACCATCATCTATATAAAACCTATCGTTTCAACCACTCTCATCCGTTACGTGGGACTAAAAACACCGAATTAGGCTAATTGGGCTTTCTGATAGAATCTTTCACTTTGTTTTATTTGGCGGTATCTGTCTGGAGTGGCTGTTGTAATCGTGCGGCAAAATTTCCTCTTCGTCTCTTTAGGCAGTTAGTTTCCCTACCCTCCAAGTCTTCCAGGGAGAAATCCCAGAATGAGTCCCGAGGTCGCGGCCAATGCTCCCATCTAGCCACTAGCAAGATAACACCCCCCGGTGTTATACGCACATGATATATTTCAAATTTCCCTTCGCATTTGGAATCACCTATTCCCACTTTTCTTCTCTTCTCTTCCTTTTCGTATCTCCGCGCCAATTATTTCAAGCACCTTTTCTTCCTCACTTATCTCCTCTCCTCTAGCAAAGATCAACTAAACTTCTCGGACGGCTCATATGTGGTTAATGATTAAAAAACCGTCACATATCTCCATGTCTTCAACTATCGTTATTGTTCCACCACTTCACCCAAGTCCCATTTCTATCCCAGGGCGAGTTCGTTTTCCTGATGGCTTCGACGGAAGAAACTTCCGTTGTTTTTTTTCCCTTCCTTTTTCCCCCTCCCCTTTGGCTGGTTGATCTTGGGAAACTGTTTGCTCTTTACAGGGTTTGATTAGAATTTGGTGTAGCTCGCAGTATTTCCTCTTTTTCCTTTTCCTTTTCTTTTTGGATCTACTCAAAACTTCCTTTTAGACGTTGCAATTTGCCGCTGTTCATTTTTTTGTTATTTTATTTATATTTTTTATTTATATTTGTTGGGCTCTATGATAGACTTTTATACTTGTGTTCTGTTTTAGTCAAAGACAACATCCAACTCTGCCTTCACCTCCTTTCTAAATGTTCTACTTCGCAATAAAAGTTATTTGGAAAAACAGTCCCCAGCAAAACAAAAGAATAAACAGCATGATCCTTCTTACTTGTTGGTTATTCACTACCCTTGTCATTTTGTATTTTGATTACCCTTTTGATGTTCATCCCTAGTGAGTTGGGGCTTTTGCCATGTTCCAGAGAGCTGGGAGTGAATGAGTGAGATGCAGTTGTTTATTCAGCACACTAGTATTCTCCATCTGAGGACACCTTTTACAAGCCTGTTGCAACTGAACACACATGAAGTTAACAGACCGGTATGTTTTTCCATTGAGCTTTTCCCCCAGGTCGCACTGTCAAAATCTTCTCTGAAAAAGTGTGGGATATCTTACTAAGGAGGATTGAAAACATGTTCTTGGTGTATTGTTGAACAAAATCTTCAATATAATCATGGGTAAGGCCGCTCTAATTCCATCTTTTATTCTGAATTCTTTATCTACAAAAATTGGATGATCTTGGTTAGTTTGCTTTACTATCTATGGATTAATAGGGAAACCATTGAAGTGTCACAAATTTCAACATCGACACGTACAGGGGCACGGTGCGCTGCCGTCTCCAAACTGGGAGAACAGCATAGCCCTAACTGTTGCAAATCAACTCTTACTCAACAACAGCATAATTCACATTCGCCCAGGAACATACTGGGTGACCATATGCCTGTTCCTCACTCTGAGCAGTACAAAATGCCATGTCTTGATGCCGTTTTTAACTGGATTGCATATGCTAAAAACTCACATGGAAAAATCAAGGGGGAAGGGCTTTATCTTCTGAAGTCAAAAGAGAAATAGTTCAAGCACTCATTTCTCATCTTGAGTGTAGGCTAGAAAGCCTTCTCTTTTGTATATCATGAAGGAGCTGTGAGGTCATAACCTTGCAGAGCTGAAATCGACAAGGAATGCATGGTCAACATTTGATCTCATAATATTTTATGATAATAGATCACCATGCACGATGTTCATATTATGTAGGTGATCAAGCTGAGCTCACAAGCTCTGGGCTCTAGCGGTGGTAACCCTAGCCTTGTCAATAGTGCATCCATCAATGTATTTGAGCAAAAGTCGATGAATAGGGTCTTCTGCTGTATGTGCCCTCAGCCGCCATACTAGGGATTGGGGGAACTTCCGTTCCATATATTGTTTCTGAGCTTTGTCAAGCTTGAGCCAGCCATGGCAGCAAGGCCCAACCACGCCGCCCAGTTTGTTCTTGATCAAGGAATTGTACACTTGACATTCAACAATGAAGGGATCCTTCTCCCCTCGCAAGCCGCCAAGCGACAAAAGATCTACTTGGAGTTCCTACGAAGTGACCATAAAAATGGGAATCATCATGAAGGGCGAATCATTCGGATTTTATGTATACATGTACGTTGTTGTTAACCATATTTCACCCTGTATCTGGTCAGGCTGAGTTGCAGCTTCGGCATCCTGCGCTGTAAGCTGCTACGCATCTCGAGTAATAGATTCTTTAATCTGCTCAATAATGCAAGTAAAGAAGAGTGTTGCAAAATATTTACTGGAAATTATCTACCTTCTGCCCTCACTGTATTTGGTGCCTATGCTAAAAGGACTGACTCTCCATTGACCTTTTTTTTGGTTGAATATTGCCGATAGGTCATTTGCAGAATATTGCTTATCAGACTGCTGCAGCACAGTACTCTCCAATATATACTGTATCTCCCCTATCTTGGAAGGTAATTCAAGTCGATCACGCTCCCTCATACTGACCATAGCAGAGGACCCAAGGGAGACGGCCCACCGGACGACCATCCAGTTTTTGTATGAGTTCTTCCGTCATTATGTCCTGTCTTTCCACATGTTCCATCATCATTCTCATCAAGGTTTAGGTATCGTTCATTTGACCTGGTTCACCCCTGGGTCCAAGGGTAGGCATTTCTTGCCTACATCCGTATTCATTCTCCACATCTTTCAAGTTCTTTTTGGAGGCATTCTCCCTTTTTAAATCAACCAATTCAATTTCAATTCTTTTTCCTGTGATCAAAACTTCCTTGGCCTCTTGTCGGGATCCTTTGGCCTGTCAGCGTAGCAGCTCACGAGACTTTTATACCTCAGATAATGAAAAGAAGTAGCGGAAGTCTTTAATTAACTAAAAGAAAACAAGCAATCCGAGCCATAAACTGTTCGACGTTTAGGTGGTCGTATTCCGTGTTCTAGTTAGAAATGGATAACCAAAACTATTATCCAATGGAAGCACCCTAGTCCTAATCGGGTATCTTCGACAAAGCTTCGCCCGCCCCAACTGCTCCAACTCCAGACATCTTCTCACCAACCCCAAAAAAGCTCTCCGCCAGACCATCTTTCTGGTACGGTTTCGTACTTTTAACTACCTGCGCGCTTCCGTCACCCCTCTCATGAATACGGAGTAGGCGGCGCTCAAGGACCATACCACAAGGGAGAAGAAAGCCAGCCTTTGCACGGCGGCTTTCCCATCCATCATGGACTATGATGAAATGGACATTGAGCCCCAGGGGCCTCAAGTCACAGTCAGAGAGGTAAATAGACGAAAGGAAGAGACCAAAAAGAAGATCCATCCTAACGAATATAAAACCACAAACCAACAGGCTGAACCACATCGTGTTGACTTCCGCCTCAGCTCCGTCGACCTCGCTTTCGCCAACTCCCTCCGCCGCACCCTCCTCGCCGAAATCCCCACCGTCGCCATCGACGTCGTCGAAATCGAATCCAATACCTCCGTTCTCCCCGATGAATTCATCTCTCACCGCCTCGGCCTCATCCCGCTCAACTCCAAAAATTGCGACGCCGACATGGAATACTCGCGCGACTGCGACTGCGAGGGCGGCTGTGCGCGCTGCGTCGTCACCTTGCAACTGCAAGCGCGCTGCACGGGCGAGGATATTATGAAGGTGTACGCGCGCGATCTGGTGATCGTCGGGGATCGGGCGAATGAGTGGGTGGGCAACCCGGTTATCATGGATGCGGAAGGAAAAGGCCCTGTGATTTGCAAGTTGCGCAGGGGCCAGGAGATTAAAATGACGTGTATTGCGAAGAAGGGGATTGCGAAGGAGCATGCGAAGTGGGCGCCGACTGCGGCGGTGGGGTTTGAGTATGATCCGCATAACAATTTAAAGCATGTGGATTATTGGTATGAAGAGGATCCGATTAAGGAATGGTATGTTCACCTCCCCAACCCTTCTCTTTTACTTTCATTCTATTATTATCATTGCTATTGTTTTCTATGGAAAACAAGCAATACGCAGGAATTCATCCCTTATTTTAAAAACATTTGACGTCGATATGTCGACATCGATATTAACTACATGCGTCACCTTCAACAGGCCCATCTCTGCAAACGCAGAATGGGAAACCCCAGCCCAACCCGACATGCCCTTCGACTATGACGCGCAGCCCTCCACCTTCTACATCGATGTCGAAAGCATCGGCAACCTTGAACCAGACGCCATCGTCCAACAGGGTATCACTGTCCTCCAACGCAAGCTCGCAGAGATCATTTCTGCCCTAACCGGCGCGGGAGATACGGATCGCAACGGCGCTACGATGAACGGCATCGGTGAGGACGGTGGCCGTAGTCCCGACGCTTACGAGCCACCTGAGGGAATGGATGGTGGCTACACAGCTTATGCGTCTAATGGTGTTGGCGGTGCTGCTGGAGGTGGGAGTGTTTGGGGTGGTGCGGGCGGCGCGACGCCGTATGGGGCTACACCGTATGGGCAGGGATTTGGAGGGTTTTAGGTTATCGGTCTATTGTGTTTTGGGCTTTCTTTTGAAGAAGGGCACCTTTTTCTTTGGGATTTTTTTTTTTTTTTTCTTTCTCAATTTACTTTTCTTTCAATACATGTTATGGCTCTTTGTGTTCTGGAGTTTGGCAGGGCTAAAAGGGGGTTTCTATTATTGTTTCCAGCCATTTCGAGATAAGACGAGTGGGATTGATATACGATTACCCCTTGTTATTTGACTGGTGTTGGCGTGCGAATGCGCAATTGGGGAGGCCCTTTGCTGGATTGACTTCAGAAGACTTCAAAATTTCAGGAAAGTGGGCCTCAGGCTCTGTGTGACAAGAGAAGCGAACAGAGTGACACCACCAAGAAAGAAAAACGGATACGGTGGCAAACTGAGTTGAAGGGAGGTGTGGGACACGCGGCGGTGTTGGGGATGCCTGATCGCGTCTGTCTTGAACGGTGGCTGGCTCTACGAAAGGCGAATCTTCTACTACCAGAGGAAAAGGAAAAAGGAGGAACTGAATGCCAGCATCTTAAGGCGATGAGGGGGTATACAGGTTCGAATTTGGCTCCACGGTGCGGATGGATGGATGGATGGATGGATGGACGGGGGATGAAAGAGGAACGGGAATGTAATGACGGGGCACAGGCTTCCTTTTCCCCCGAAGCTATATCCTCTGGCAAATCGCCCGCCCTCCTGCCACCCGATCTATATTATTATGCCATGCAAAGTCAACGGCGCGAAAACGGCGCGAAGCCGACGCGCTCGGCGTCCTCAAAAGGGGTGAATAGAAAAAAAAAAACTCAAAACGATCAGGAGCCGTTGTTAACAGGCGCTCCCACATACACACTTTGCGGCGCTTTTCAAGTTTCTCAGGAAAACACATCGCCTGAAGGACCAACTGCTTGGTTGGTTGGTAATTGGTGTTTCCTCTTTTAACTTCAATCATAAGAGGAAGCTGGATGGAGGCTTAGGTTGGCACGGAAAATTGACGTTGATGTATATCTTTCATGATACCTGTGATCCTGTGTTTATACCCAACTTCATCGAAGCTGGTTTGCTTGGTTATGTTGAAACTTGAATCCTAGGAAACTACCTACAAACAAACATGCCTGTATATTTTATAGCGCCAAATCATATCATCGATGTTCAATGTTCCAGAAAAAGGAAAAGAACAGAAAAGGGTTAGCTAGCTGTATTGCGCTTCATAAGCTATTTTCTGGTCATTTCCCACGTAAAAGTAATAAAGGTTATCTATAGTTTAATTCTTCGGCCGTCATTCAGGTCATCCAGGGCAAACGGCATTCTATCCCCCCCTCCCACCCCAATACGAACGCCTCCTCCACTCACTCATTCGCTTGATCCCCTACAATTTACTCCAAATTAAAATTTCCTACGCATCACCAGCGCCTCGTAATGACTCAAGGAAGTAAAATGCTTAAACCTCCAGCTTCTCCAGCTTCTCCTCGACACTGCCTGCGTCCTCTTTTGGTGGACCGCCACCGCCACCGCCACCACCAGGGTATCTACTACCCTTATCCTTCGGCTTCTTCTTCTTCTTCTCCGGCTCCGGTGGAGGCGGGTATGCTTTCTTCTCGATCTCTTGCCAGTCAGGGTTAGCTTGGAAGGAGGCCTGGACGGGCGCGAGGAGCTTGTTGAGCGCAGTTGTCACGGCGGCTTTAAGAAGTTGTGGGGTTAACTGATTTTTTTTATCAATAGATTATTGTTAGTATGGAAATGTACTGGTCCACGTGTAAATAGGGGTGACAAACGCAAAACAAAAATTATAAGAAGCAGAAGAAGAAGAAAAGGGCCTCACTTTATCATCCCGATAATCACTCTTCACATCCTCAATATTCCAATAAACAATCGGACCGCCCTCCTCCTCCCTCCTCTCGACCACAAAGCTCCCTTTCCCATCATCCCTCTCCAACGCACTCACGGGTAGCAACACATACTCCACGAAGCTAATAATCCCATTCCCCTCTGTCTCCTTCGGCACCGCATAGGCTTTCTTCAACTTCTTTTTCACCACCTCCGACGTATCCAGAATATCAATCTTTGAATCTGGGTCCGACGCCGACATCTTCCCGCCCGCCAGCCCGGGTACCATGGGACTCATGAGGTGTGCGCGCTCCTTATAGCCCACGCGCGGCAGCGTCTCCAGCGCCAGCGTGAAGATCTTCCGCTGATCGACGCCGCCAAACTGCGCATCGACATCCAGATGCTCCTCGTCCAGCGCCTGCATGAGCGGGTATATCAGGCCGGAGAGCGGCGCGTTGTCGACCTGCTTCACGACCTCCGCGCCGGCCTTCTTGGCATCGTGCTCCGTCACGACACTGCTGAGGCGGAACAGGTCCATGGTGTATCTGGAGGAGAGCTGGTAGTCGCTGCCCAGAACGAACTCGAGCTTGTCGATGGGGACGTGGATGGCTTCGAGGAGGGCGGTGATGACATAGCGGTAGTATTTGGCACGGAAGTTGACGAGGTCGATGGGCGCCTTGAGGTTATCGAGGAAGCCATGGATGTCTGCGAGGAGGATTTTGACGTGGCAGCCTGCGCGGAGGAAGTGGGCGAGCTTTACTATGGGGCAGAAGTAGCCGCAGTGTGGGCGGCCGGTTGTTGCGGTACCTGTAAAATTTTGTCAACGACGAAAATAATCCATGTAATTTTTCACCAATTTTATTTTCTTCAGTTTTGTTTTTTATAAATAACATAAAATCAGGCATTGGATGAGGTTCCCTTCGTTTTTCTTAAAGGGCATTGCATCCCCTTTTTTTAAGGTGGCGATGGAGTGGAGGGTTGACAACCATACCGAAATAAACTTTCAGAGGGCGATTTTGCCGCAAGATGACATCTTCGATAATCTCTGGCTTCAGGACTTCTTGAAGATTGTGGTAGATCAGATCGATCTTCTCTCGGGGCGATAATTCGTTTGCCATCCTTGGGCTGTGGGAGTGAAGAGCGGCGGCGGACTGTGGGAAGCAAGAGGAATCGAGCCCGAGTCACGGAGCAGATTGCGGGGAGAGCACGCTGACCACGTGACATGCGCAGTTGTCAATTCGATGAGGATTTTTGAAATATGTGTATATCTCCAAGAAGCCTTGGGGACTTTTAGGACGACAAAACTTGTCTTCTCGCGTTTGAATTCATCCTCCCTGTGAATCGGCCTATCCATACTCGCACTCATGCCCCTTCAGTTTCGGCATACGATATACATACTCCGGACACCACATGGACATGTGCTATACATAGGCATATGCTAACGACACTCCGGCCGGACGGTCAGGCAGCCCACCAGGAACAGCTTGTCTAGCTTCATAGCAAACATTCCGTATCGGTGGGGTCAAGGGCAACTCTTCCAACTTGACCAAAAATATTGTTCACAAATATAGCCCAGCCTGAGGAAGAAAGAGGAGGGCAGATGCGTTCTTTTCGTTCCCTAATTCGGTTTCGTGGAGTCCATTCCAATGTGCATGTACTATACGGAGTATAATACGGAGTATCATTCATCATCAGGCCAGCCAAAATACGCAGTTTTGGTGAGTGGATGCAGATCTCAACATCGGTGGAGCAATTCTGAAAACTGGTTCAAGTTGTTGATAGTATCTTCAAAAATGTTATTACGATTCTACATTGAATTGACTCGTTCCTCCTCGCTGCAGCTAATCAATGTTCGTGATGGTCATTAATTCTGCATTCTTGATCTAGGCACCTGGGGCAGAAGAGCCCATTTACCACCAGCGTCATGCTGAATCCTATCCCTCCAGCACTCGAGAATGACACTGGGGTTCTTTTCTGAGGTAGGTACCAACGCTCGCCCAAATTTTAGGCATCAGTGCGTTGAGGTCTTTCCAGTTGTTTTGTGATTAATCCTCTCTTGGTTTAGGGCTTTGAGAATGGAGCGCGTGGGCGCTGATACCTTGAGCAAGACGATATGCCCTTCCTGCAAGTTTCTGTCATTCTCGCTAGTGTGATCCATGGATGTGTATACCATGCACGTGGCTCCTCATCAGGTGTGCTTAGCGTTTTCGTAGCTGGCTTCGCATCCCTTGTCAACTCTTCCCTTAAAGTCGGCAGCAATACATATAGGCGCTTCGATCCTGCGATTCCAGCATGGCTAGTAGTTCAGCACATTTATCTGCCCAGACGAGACGGCATATGCCAACTCCGGCGAGAAAAGGTATGCCGTAGCAACTCTCGCCCTACCAAAACGATTCTAACTATCAAAGCCCACACGCATCGAGGTCATATCAGCAACGTCACCACGTTGCGGCGAAGCCGGCGTCTCACAAGGACGTCGGCGGTTGAAGAGTGGCCAAAGGTCCAGACAAATACCGAACAGGCATGTGTGCACCAAGCTATATGTTCAGCGACGTAACATAGTTTATGAAGGGTCTCACGCATCCTCAGCAGATGCAGAAACGAAGACGAAGGACTCTACTCCTCCAAGTTGCTAATCATATCCAGTCACAGCCCAAGTCCACGCGGCGGGTGAAGACCCCAAACCGTCCTCGAGAAGACCACGAGGCTCCATCCTCTCATGCGTCTCCTCATCGACCACGAACATCTGCGCCCCCAATCAGCGAGGCTCGGGTTGAACACTGGACGAAAAACGGAGCCTGGCCAACAGAAGAAAGAAGAAGAGCAGACAATGGATCGGTTTCGGGATATCGTTAACGATGCGCTCGCAAGAAAGCGATCGAGTTCCTTTAGCCGCAAACGCTCAAATGCCAGCTTAAGTACAGAAACAGCTCAGACACAGACTCCAAGCAGCCAACAATTGCGGGATCAGAAGAGTGCACCGTATAAACATCCACTGTTTGAAGATCAATCAAAGGAGTGTGACAGCTTTATGGACGATTGCGATGAAGGCATTAGCGCTCAAAGCAAAAAGCTTTGTCAAACGCTCCTGAGAGCACCGCAGCCACCACCTGAGCATACTCTCTTCTCTGACGATAACCTGTTCAAGAAAACGTGCAAAAGGATCAGGGGCGAGAACGAGACCAAGGTGATCCGCGATATTGCACAGCTCATTGTTCCTTCAGCTGAGATACTAGCCGATAAGGGAGCCAAACACTTAGAAATCCTTCGAGAGACTACCAATGCGTGCTGGGTCAACACCGTCCCCTTTATCAGACCTCCCGGTTCTCGACCTGCTCCTCGTCCGCAGCCTGACTTTGGCCCTGGATTTAAGAGAGACGCATTCAATCGGGAACAGCTTCAGAAGCTGCGACCTTATATCGGCGACCCTCTTGCTGATTGCTCGTTAATGGCAGCTACGTATAATATGTATTTTCCATTCCTCACCAGCGAGGTCAATTGTGGAGCAACCGGTCTTGATATTGGTGATCGACAGAACGCCCACAGTCAATCCGTCATATTACGTGGTCTAACTGCACTTTTCCGCCTGGTAGGCCGGGAGAACGAACTGCATCGGGAAATTATTGGTTTTTCTATCTCTCATAGTGGTGTGGATGTGAGAATTTACGGCCATTACCCTGTCATTAATAGTAGAGATATCAAATTCCACCGACATCCAATTGCCGAATTCAATATCTCGCCAACGGCAGAAGGAGATCAAAGGTGGAAGGCATACAATTTTGTCCGGAATGTCTACGATTTGTGGCTCCCAGAGCACTTCAATGGAGTCCGCTCTGTTATCGATATGTTACCTGCTGACCTAAACTTTGAAGTCTCTGATCAGTCAGAGCTTCAATTCCTAGACCAGGAACCGGCTTCATCACGCTCAGGACTGTCCCAGCAATTTGAGGATCACAATTTAGCCAATGAAGGGGTGATACGGGGCAGCCGGGAACACGCCCAGCAAATTACACCGGACACAACAATCCGGTCTGAGCCAAGCAGATCCAAGAGGAAAAAGTAGAAGTAAAAACCGGCGCCACCATCTATATAGTGCTCCGGTATGATCGTTTGACTCTGTACGGAGTACATGCGACTCTACTCATGTATATATATACTCTGAGCCCTATCTGGAGATACAGATAGACAATCCTACAACCAAATGTTTTGCGTAATCTGATTAAGAATAATATCTTTGAGAACAATTAGAGACTTTTTAAATGTTCTTGTAATTCCACATATAAGAAATTTAATCTATTGACTCCGATTTAAAAGAGATCATTGCTGTCGGTAGTGCTGAAATAAATAACTTTTATGACTCTGGATGATATAAAGCCGTATAGGATCATTATTAAGTTGATGAGGATTTATACAGTATTCACCATGGATAAAAAGATTTGAATTCGATTTCACGGAGTACATATCTTCTATGTGAACCTCGCAACCGCTCTTGTACAGTATGTATTTATTGGCCTCTCATCAGCTGGCTCTTCTTATGGTGTGTATGCTGTGGTTACTGGAACAAAAATCGGCAGTCCATGGCATATTTTTGCTTCTGTGATGATGCCTCCATATACAAAACAATGGCTGCTTGTTTTGATACTCTTACTTTTTGAGCTGTGCTGAGACGCTGCCACCGTATTTTACTCTGTAATTTTTATTGATTGTATATCGATGGCCGTGCTTTCTTGAACCACGGGTTGATAATCAATACATTTCTCTTCAGTGAAGACGATATCGCCAGACCGTCAAGCAAGTTCGGCATCAAAAGCGCCTTAAGTGACAACCTCTGTCTGTCTGCACATTGAAATTTCTGGCGTGTGGGACGAAAACGCCTCGCAGATGCCTGGCACCAGCCACCCACGGTTGGTTTTCTTTTTCTCGATAACCGAAGGCCAAGGGTGTGAAGTGTCTTACTATAGTACCTAGGTGGGAGTTACCCCCCAGTCACGCTTTCGCTGGAGCCAATAGCAAGCCATATATTAGTCCAAAGCCAAGCATTCGTATAGCCACGCCGTTGCATGGCAGGGGTTCAAATGCATGGTGTCGAAACAGAATTTTGTTTGACCCCCTGAGAGGCCTGAGGTTCTTGGAAACGAACAGGTTGACAGTCAGAATTTGTAGTGTACGGAACCGTAGAAACTACTCCGTACTCCGTACTTGCGTGGGAAGCGAAACGGCTCGGTGACGAGGTGAGCGAATCTTTGGGACCCGGCGATCAAAGTTTTGGGTCCCTGAGATCCCAGAACTTTGGAAGACCGATTAGCTCGACTTGTGGCGGGAAACGGCGAATTGGGGGGGGTTTGGGATTTGTCTCGACTCCTTGCTAGTCAACTGTTAGCTGAGTGGAAGGATTTATTTTCTGGTTTCAGAAGATGTCATTGCTCCGCTGATGATGTGGTTTTATTCTTTTGATGTCAACCGAGTTGAACAAGGAATCGGCGAGAATAGCAGCGATGCAGCGATGCAGGGGGCTGCATGGGGCGCTAGCCCGTGATCGCAGCACGCAAAGCAGCCAACAGCATCGCAAGAGGCCCCACGCAAAACGACCAAAACAGCTCTAACAGGCCGCTAAAATGCAGCAGCTAGCGCGCACACTCGCAGCGTCGCTGGGCTGCAGCTCTCCTTCCTTTTTTCAGCCGCCCCCGCCACCGCTGGCGGGATTTGTTGATATTTATTGATCCCCTTTTTTCTTTCTCTTCCTTCTGCCTCTCCTCCGTTCCACATCCCATTCTCCTGTTTGTTTACTTTCTGGATTTTCTGCTGAACATCCCGCTCGCTCGCCCACATCATATACCCCTCCTCATACCTTTTGCATACTTTTAGTGCACCCTCAGAGCAAGCAGTACCTTTGTGAACCTTCTCATCTGCTGTGTAAAGAAGCCCCCAGTGGCTATTTTCTTTCCAGGCTTCATCTCAACATGAAGCTTTCTTCGGGCTCCATGGCCGGTTTGGCTATGTCCCTGCTCTCAGGTTCCAAATTAGTTGCTGCTCAGACTTGGACCTCCTGCAATCCCATGGAAAAGAGTAGGTTCCACGATCACCAACCCCAAGTTGACGTTTAAAGTTCCCTTGACCCAGTTCCGGATTCTCAGCCCAATTCCCTTCTGGTTAACCCCTTGACAGTTGTGGTTTATTTTTGACTTCTTTCAAGATCGTGTCAGCTCAATTCATTTATATTAACTGTTTTTTGTTTATACAGCTTGCCCTCCAGATCCTGCTCTTGGAGGGACGGCTGACTTCGAGTTCCACTCCGTCTCTGAGCGATTCGACGTCCTCGGGGGTGCCCCAACATATGGCTCAAATGGGGCTTCCCTAGCCGTAGCCAAGCAGGGTGATGCACCCACCCTTGTCTCGAAATTCTACATCATGTTTGGCCATGTTGACTTTGTCATCAAAGCCGCCCCTGGCCGAGGCATCGTCAGCAGTGCGGTCTTACAATCCGACGACCTGGACGAGATTGATTGGGAATGGCTTGGTGTAGACAACGCCCAGGTGCAAACCAACTACTTTGGAAAGAATCAGCAGGGCACCTTTGACCGTGGCCAGTTCCACGCCAATCCGGGCAATCAAGATGGCTTTCATACTTACTCGATCGACTGGAATAGCGATCGGCTTATCTGGCAGATCGATGGTCAGACTGTCCGTACCCTTACTGCCGCCTCTGCTGGTGCATCGTACCCGCAAACCCCTATGCAGATCAAGGCTGGTGTCTGGGCCGGCGGTGATCCTTTCCAATCCTCCTGGAACTATCGGTATGTCACCCCTCACACCATACTGATATGCGGACGACAAAGTACCATTTACATCTTGCTAAGATAAGCCTGATTCATTAAAAAAATCCCGTGCCTCCCAGAAATGGG